TTCATCAGGAATATTGGCCTGTAGTTTTCTTGTTTTCATATGTCTTTGTCTGGCCTTGATATCAGGATAATACTGGCCTCATAGAATGAATTTTGAAGTATTCCTTTTTCTTCCATTTTTTTAGAATAGTTTGAGTAGAATTGGAATTAGTTCTCTTTTAAATGTTTGGTACATTTCAGCAGTGAAGCCATTGTGTCCTGGGCTTTGCTTTGCTGGGAGCCTTTTATGATGGCCTCAAGCTCATTACTTGTTATTGGTCTGTTTGGCTTTTGGATTTCTTCATGTTACAGTCTTGGTAGGTTGTGTGTGTCCAGGAATTTACCCATTTCTGCTAGGCTTTCCTATTTACTACCATGTAGTTGCTCATTGTAGCCTCTAATGATCCTTTTAAATTTCTTTGGTATTGATTGTGATGTCCCCTTTTTCCTCTTAATTATATTTATTTGAGTCTACTCTTCAAAAAATTTTTTTTCTGGCTAATGTTTTGTCAATTTTGTTTATCTTTTTGAAAAACCAGGTTTTTGTTTTATTGATCTTTTGTATCATTTTGTTCATTTTAATTTCATTTATTTCTGCTCTGATGTTTATTATTTTTCTTCTACTTATTAGGTTTGGTTTGCTCTTGCTTTGCTAGTTCTTTAAAATGAATCATTAGGTAATTTATTTAAAATTTCTCTTTATTATTGATGCAGGAACTTATACCTAAAAAATTCCCTGTTAGTACTCCTTTCACTATATTTCATAGGTTTTAGTATGTTGTGTTTTCATCATCATTTGTTTCAAGACATTTTTCAATTTCTTCTTTACTGTTGTTATTCATCAGCATATTGTTTAATTTCCATGCATTTGTATAGTTTCCAAAACTCCTTCTGTTACTGGTTTTTAAGTTTATTTATTGTAGTCTAAATAAATAATTGGCATAATTTCAGGGTTTTCTTTTTTATTTTCTAAGATTTGTTTTTTGGCCCAATATGCCAGGCCATATATATCTCAAGGATAGAGATAGTCTATTCCTGAGAGTGATACATGTTGTAAGTAGAAGAATGTGCATTCTGCAGCCACTAGAAGAAATGTTCTGTGATATAGCTATTTGGTTCATTTGGTCTGTAGTACAGATATTAAGTGTGATGAATCTGATGATTTTCCATCTTTATGATATGTCCAGGGCCAAAAGTGGGGTCTTAAGTTTCCAGATATTATTGTATTGAGGTCTATCTTTATCTTTAGCTCTAAGAGTATTTGCTTTATATATCTGGATGCTTCACTGTTGGGTACAACTTTCGTAATTTCTTGCTGAATTGACCCCTTTATCATTATATAATGATATTCTTGTCTCTTTTTATAGTTTTTGTCTGAAATCTCTTTTATCTAATATAAGTATAGCTACTCCTGCTCTTTTTTGGTTTTAATTTGCATAGAATATGTTTTCCATTTCTTTATTTTCAGTTAATATATGTTTTTAGAGGTACAGTGTGTTTCTTGTAGGAAACAGATCATTGAGTCTAATTTCTCATTCATTCAGTCACTTTATATCTTTTTATTGGAGGTGGTTTTAGTTCATTTATATTCAGTGTTATTATTGATAACTAAGGTGAAAGCACCTGCCATGTTGTTATTTGTTTTCTGGTTGTTTTGTGGTCTTCTCTTTCTTCTTAATTCCTGTCTTCCATCTAGTGAGGGTGATTGGTGGTATGATTCAATTTCTTGCTTTTTATGTTTTGTGTATCTGTTGTATGTTTTTTGATTTGAGATTCCCATGAGGCTTGCAGATACTATTTGATAACTCATTATTTTAAGCTGATGACAACTTAACATTGATTGCATAAACAAATAAAAAAAGCAAAGAGAAAACTACTGAAAACTCTCCACTTTAACTTACTCCTTCTACCTTTAAACGTTTTATTGTTTCAATTTATATCTTATTGCACTGTATATATTTTGAAGTTGTTGTACTTACTATTTTTGATCAGTTCATCTTTTTTAGTCTTTCTATCAAGTATGAGTAGTCTATATACCACCATTACTGTGTTACAATGTTCTATGTTTGTGTACTTACTATTGCCAGTGAGTTTTTTTACCTTCAGATGCTTTCTTCTTGCTCATTAACATTCTTTTCTTGCAGACTGAAGAACTCCCTTTAGTGTTTCTTGTAGGACAAATCTGGTGTTGATGGAACCCCTTAGCTTTTGTTTGTCTGGGAGAATCTTTATTTTTCTTTCATGGATATTTGAGGTTTGAAGGATAATTTCACTGGTTAGACTATTTTAGTATACAAGTTTTTCCCTTTATAACTTTAAACATGCCATAACATTATCTCCTAGCCTGTAAGGTTTCCACTGAAAAGTCTGCTGCCAGATGTATTGGAGATATATATGTTGTTTCTTTTCTCTTGCTGCTTTTAGAATCCTTTCTTTATTTGTGACTTTTTGGAATTTGATTATTAAGTGCTTTGAGGTAGTCTTCTTTGGGTTAAATGTGCTTGGTGTTCTATAATATTCTTGCACTTGAATACTGGTATCTTTTGCTAGGTTTGGTATATTCTCTGCTGTTATCCCTTTAAATACATTTTCTACACCTATATCTTTCTCTACCTCCTGTTTGCCTCTGTTTACCTCTCTCTCTCTTACTCCCTCCCTGCCTCTAGCTCCTCTTTAAGGCCAGTAACTCTTAGATTTTCCTTTTTGAGGCTATTTTTTTAGATCTCATCACATGTTTCATTGTGTTTTACCCTTTTTCTTTCTCTGACTGTATTTTCAAAGTTTGTCAAAATTTGCCACAACTTACCACTATTGTGAATGTCTTAGCAGCTATTATTAATAAACATCAGTGTTGAATTATGTATAGCTCTTTTGGAAAGAATTGTTTGAGACGGCAAAAATGCTCTTTCCTCTGGATTTCTATGTAAACATTCTGTGCATTCTGTGTAACTTGTTATATAACCATTACCAGCTTGGGAAAGAGAAGGTGAAAGGAAAATTTGCTGCTGAATTTCTGTAGGTGAGAATAAATCTGCTTATTCGAATGTCATCAAACAAATTAGTGACTTCTCGCCAATGCAAAGAAAATGAAAGCACTCAAGAGACAGTGATTCTTTTATTTTTTTAATTTTATTTTTACTGAGCTACATTTCATTCCATAAAATAGAACTAGTATTCCCTATTACTTGCTATTTTTGAGAAACTACCCATTATTTTATTTATTTTGTACACTGACTTGCATGATATGGTAGTTTTTATGACTATCCCAATTTCATTTATTACTTGCTGAAATATCTTCATTTTTCCAGCTTTAGACCTGCTAAGATGTTCTGTCAAATTAGTATATACAATTTTAGTTTCTTTTATCCAAAATGCTTGTGACTAGAATGTTTCAGATTTTGGATTTTTTTTTTCAGATGTTGGAATATTGCAAATACATATTAATGATAATGACATTTGGAAAATATTATTTAATGTTATTCAAGTGAGGATACCCACCTGGGAAACACAGTCTCCAAAAGAATGAGTCAGCATTCCAAAGTGGGAAAGTTAAGTTTTCACTTACTTAGGCAGAAACAGAAGTTAACAGGGTTACAGCATTTTCCATACAAGGCCATTACATAGTTTGTAATGATTTGATTGATTTACAGCTTGGTACATTCCAAGGAAGATTGCTTTAACATTCTGCAAGGAAGGGCATTGTTCTAAAGGAGTCTTATCTCTGGTGGTATTCCATCTTTCCTAATCATTTATAGGGTAATAATGAAGGAGATATTTAATCTATAATAGAAGAAGCAGAATTTACAGCTGCATGCTACATGGCTCAGGCCACATATTCCCATTCCTCTCAAACTTTAACAAGTATAAAGTTCCAAAAGCTTTAGGTTTGGATTATTTAGTTTCACATATACACTAAGATATCTTGGGGCTGGGACCCAGTTATAAACATGAAATTCATTTATGTTTCATATATACCTCGTACACATAGCCTGAACATTATTTTATACAATATTTTAAATAATTTTGTATATGAAACAAAGTTTGTGTTAAGTACTTACATGTGGAATTTTTTACCTGTGTTGTCATGTTGGTGCTTCAAAATTTTTGGCTACTAGAGCATATCAGATTTTGGATTTTTGGATTAGGGATTACTCAATTTGTGCCTTAGGTTTTGAGGGCTGTAAGGACTTTGTGACAACTAGTCAACTGTCTCACGTAGTGTAAAAGCATCCATACATAATATGTAAACAAATGGGCATGCTGTGCTCTAGCAAACTTTATTTATAAGAACTATTAGTTGACCCGTGATCCAGTTGATAGACTTATTTATTTCCATATGGAATAGCAGTATAAGCTCCTTTTGTCACTAAATATTTGTTCCATAGTGTTTCTAAAAATCAGGGTACTAAAATTATTCTATTTCTTTTTAAGTCATAATTAAAAGCATTAAAAGGTCCATGCATTCTTTTTCCTTTTTTTTGGTTAATGTTCTCTGTGCTATTGAAAGGGCAAACCTACCTTCTTATTATCCTTTAGACAATCCAATCACACTCTTGTTTCAGGGCCTTTGCACTTGCTGATGCAGCTAGAATCTGGAATATAAGACACTCTACCTCTTTGTCTAGATTTATACTCAAGACAACATTTTTATCAATGACATCTTTACCATCCTAAATACGTAGCAACCCAGGTTCGCATAAATACTTGTCCTACACTTGGTTCTATCTTTAATTCTCTACTTTCCCCCACCCCAGGCACTTAGTACCAACAAGGCATTTAGTTCAAATTGTTGTACTGTATGTATTTTTATTTAGTTATTCATATTCTGTCTTCATCCAGAGATTTGTTTGCTTTCGTTTGCTTTATCCCCAGTAATAAAAATATTAATGGATCCTGGTATTTAATAGTCAACAAATGTTGGAAAAAAAAATGAAGATATGAAGGAATGAGTCAAAGGCTTATCTATACATTCATTAATGCTTTGATGTTTCCAAAATAAATAAATGCACATTTAAATTTCAGGAACGGAAAACAGTTCTTCCTTCAAAGCATGCAGTACCTGAAGTAATAGAAGACTTTCTCTGCAATTTCCTGATGAAAATGGGAATGACCAGAACTCTTGATTGCTTTCAGTCTGAATGGTAAACAATTATGTGGATAAATAGTTCTCTAGAAATTCTAACATTTAACATGTATGCTTTTAACTGTCTTAGGAGACTTTGAAATGACTCAGCTTATGAAAATGACTAGAAACATTTCCATCTCCAGCCCTGAAACCACCACACACACACACACACACACACACACACACACACACACACACACAGTTAGAATAGCAATTGCAAAGAAATTTTTATTAAATATCTTTCCCAAATATTTGAATTTAAGTAATTTTCAAAAAATCAAGACAATTGAATATCTCCTGGAGTTACAAAACACAAAGATATCAAAATGTTTGCTAATATTTTTGAATAATTATTGAGAGTATTATTTCCTATATGTAGACATTATACTAACAGTACTGCTTTACTTGCTTGTTTTGTTTATAGTGTAATCGCTTGCCTTTTTCTACTCACATAGCTGATTATTTTTCTATAAATATTCTTCATTTAGAAGTAAGTGTAATTGTATTTTGAATACCACTTGTATATTCACAAGATTTTCTTGTTACAATTGAAAATTTTAATAATTAGTTATATAAATCAGCAGGTGTACCTTTATTCCTTTGTTACAATAATAATGTCAGCAGGCATATTTTCAGTTTCCTGATGTTGTTTAAGTAAATTTGTTAAATGATTAGGTATGAAAATATATTTGAACTTTAATAGCTTTTTCATATTCTAGAAAGGGGGATTAATATGATATCTAAAGATGTTTATAATTAGGACTAAATCTTAATTTTAAATACATTTATAATATATGGATAATTTGCAATTTTTACTATCCAGCTATGGTATAATTTTTTATTTAGTTTTTGCTTTTTTGGGTTCTCATCTTCTGAGAACATGCACATAAGAGCAATCAGTTTCTTTATTTTAAACTTCACATCTAATGTTAATAAATTTTATGAGGATAATTATTTTTCATTAATGTAGTCTAAGAAAAACAGTAAGTTCAGTGGTAGAAAAATAATAGTGCTTTTTTTAAATTTGGAAATTGTGTGAATGATTTAAATTTTTTTAATAAAAGTATTCCTAAGAAGTATAATAATTACAAATGTACTAGAAAATATATTTTTTGTGAAAGTAGGTAGATGACTAATTTACAGTGCTAGGATTAATATGATTCACTTAACTTTCTGTCTTCCAACAATGTGGTTAGGCCATGTGATGCTTACATATTAGACCAGTCCAAAGTATAAAATGATTTTCTTAGAGGAATCTGGATCCAAGTATACTCTTAACAATTTGGTAATTATTTTATATTTTCCTTATAGATTTAGCAATCTCAATTGATAAAATGAAATTTAAGAAAACTAAGATTAGTATTAGGATTTAAAATCCTTCCAAACTAAGCATACTAGTCATACGATAAAGTTTGTATGAAGTATCTGTTTATGAGTTTAGTATATGGTGGTTCAAGTAATTTTATTCTTATCCCTAGCTGCCAGTTTGCAATGAAATTACTTTGTATCAAATACCTTATTTCATACATAACATTTTTTATTTCAATTAGGGAACTTGACCTATTCTACATAGTAAAATTATAGCATTATTAAATACATTATTTTTATCATTTTTACCACAGGAAAAAAAACACTTAGAATATATAATTGCTATGAATTCACTTAATCTTTCAAAACATGACCAAACATGAATTTTCCTTTGTTAATTTGCTAAAATTAGCAAAACACTGGGCGGTAAAATTTGACTTAGGTTCTTACTCTCCTTAAGCAGAAAATGCAATAGATCCTTTAAATCCAGGATTAGAAAACTAAGACCCTTGGGCCAAATGTGGCCTGCCTCCTGTTTTTTTAAATAAAATCTTACTGCACCACAGATGTGACCTTTCTTTAGGTATTGTCTATGGCTGCTTTCACTCTATAAAAGCAAAGTTAATCAGTCACAACAGGGATGATATGGCATATAAAGATAGTTTTGCAAATTCTAAAATAGTTATTTTCTGACCCTTTACACAAAAGAGTTGCCAGAATATAGTAGGAATTTGTTCTATGAATCACTAAAAAGTTTCCATTGCAGGTTTAGTCAATACTTCAGTGCTATCTTTATGTCTGTTTTAGAATTGTCTTTGGGCAATAGTAATTTCTCAGGGGGAAAAATCAAAGAAGAAATTCAAATGGAGAAAATATGGTATTCGAATTCTGGTACTTTTACCTTAGCATACGTTATATCCATCTGTCTTCCCACGTTGGATTTTTCTCCTGTCTATTAATATTGTCAGAACTACTCACCCTAAAGATACATTCATACTCTTTTTTGCCTCTTACTACCACTTTTTCTTTAAAACCCTTTTTCCCTTTCCAGCCAATGTTTTGAAAACAGAGGTTAATTTTTTTTTCTTTCTTCACCTTTTTACTTCCTATTTAACATTTGGTTCTCTCCAGTTTAGCCTATTCCCACCATTTCACTAAAGGTAGGGTGGTAATGAAAATGCCATCAAGAGTAATAGCGCAATTCTTTATAACATTTAATTACTAGTTTAACTTTATTGTAATAATGGAAGAAATTGTAAATTAAGGGTATATTTTGTTAATTTGCAAGAAAGAAATATTGCAGCTTTTACACAGTAAAATTTGGCATAACATTTAATCACTTAAATGTGAGCAGTGCAGTTACAACTTTCTGGGGATGGTTGTTTTTATAACCAGAACCTAGAATTAAAATTACACTTGATATAGCCCTTATGTTGCCCAGAATGTGCAGGAAGTATACGTGGTGTTGGGTATACATTAATGACGCCCAATGAACATTACACAAATAACTTGTTCTTTTGTCATTTAATCTTATTGCTGTTTCTTCAACTAATGAGGACTTGGCTTCTAGTTATATGTGTCAGAAGAATATTGTTTCCCCAATCATTATTAAGTTAAACACAGGAATATAGTGACTCTTCTATATAACATAAAAGTTAGCAAAAGATATATATTTTTAATTGCATTTTAGGTTTTGGGGTACATGTGAAGAACATGCAAGATAGTTGCATAGGTACACATGTGGCAGTGTGATTTGCTGCCTTCCTCCCCTTCACCCATATCTGGCATTTCTACCCATGCTATCTCTCCCCAGCTCCCCTCCACCCGCTGTCCCTCCCCTATTCTTTCCAATAGACCCCAGTGTGTAGTGCTTCCCTCCCTGTGTCCATGTGTTCTCATTGTTCATCACCCGCCTATGAGTGAAAACATGTGGTATTTCATTTTATGTTTTTGTGTCAGTTTGCTGAGAATGATGTTCTCCAGGTTCATCCACGTACCTACAAAGGACAAGGACTCATCGGTTTTGATTGCTGGATAATATTCCATGGTGTATATGTGCCACATTTTCCCAGTCCAGTCTATCATTGATGGGCATTTGGGTTGGTTCCAGGTCTTTGCTATTGTAAACAGTGCTGCAATGAACATTCGTGTGCATGTGTCCTTATAGTAGAACGATTTATAGTCCTTTGGATAAATACCCAGTAATGGGATTGCTGGGTCAAATGGAATTTCTATTTCTAGGTCCTTGAGGAATCGCCACACTGTCTTCCACAATGGTTCAACTAATTTACACTCCCACCAGCAGTAAAAGTGTTCCTATGTCTCAATATCCTCTCCAGCATCTGCTGTTTCCAGATTTTTTAATGATCGCCATTCTAACTGGCATGAGATGATATCTCAATTTAGTTTTGATTTGCATTTCTTTAATGACCAGTGATGATGAGCATTTTTTCATATGTTTGTTGGCCTCATGTATGTCTTCTTTTGTAAAGTGTCTGTTCATATCCTTTGGCCATTTTTGAATGGGCTTGTTTGTTTTTTCTTGTAAATCTGTTTTAGCTCTTTGTAAATTCTGGATATCAGCCCTTTGTCAGATGGGTAAACTACAAAAACTTTTTCCCGTTTTGTTGGTTGCCGATTCACTCTAATGATGGTTCTTTTTTTGCCTTGCAGAAGCTGTGGAGTTTGATTAGGTCCCATTTGTCTATTTTGGCTTTTGTTGCCAATGCTTTTGGTGTTTTGGTCATGAAGTCCTTCCTACTTCTATGTCCTGAATGGTTTTGCCTAGATTTTCTTCTAGGGTTTTATGGTGTTAGGTCTTATGTTTAAGTCTTTAATCCAGCTGGAGTTAATATTAGCATCAGGTGTCAGGAAGGGGTCCAGTTTCTGCTTTCTGCAAATGGCTAGCCAGTTTTCTCAACACCATTTATTAAACAGGGAATCCTTTCCCCATTGCTTGTTTTTGTCAGGTTTATTCAAGATTGTATGGTTGTGGATATGTTGTGTTGCCTCCAATGCTTCTGTTCTGTTCCATTGGTCTATATCTCTGTTTTGGTACCAGTACCATGCTGTTTTGATTACTGTAGCTTTGTAGTATAGTTCAAAGTTCGGTAGTGTGATGCCTCCTGCTGTGTTCTTTTTATTTAGAATTGACTTGGCTATTTGTCCTCTCTTTTGGTTCCATATGAAGTTTAAGGTGGTTTTTTTTAGTTCTGTGAAGAAGGTCTTTGGTAGCTTGATGGGGATAGTGTTGAATCCGTAAATTACTTTGGCAGTATGGCCATTTTCATGATATTGATTCTTCCTAACCATGAACATGGAATGTTTCTCCATCTGTTTGTGTCCTCTCTTATTTTGTTGAGCCATGGTTTGTAGTTCTCCTTGAAGAGGTCCTTTATGTTCCTTGTTAGTTGTATTCCTAGGTATTTTATTCTGTTTGTGTCTATTGTGAATGGCAATTTGGTCTTGATTTGGCTCTCTTTAAGTAAGTCTGTTATTGGTGTAGAGGAATGCTTGTGATTTTTGCACATTGATTTTGTATCCTGAGACTTTGTTGAAGTTGCTTATCAGTTTCAGGAGTTTTTGGGCTGAGACAGTGGGGTCTTCTAGATATACTATTATGTTGTCTGCAAATAGAGACAATTTGGCTTCCTCCTTATCTATTTGAATACCCTTTATTTCTTTTTCTTGCCTGATTGCTCTGGCTAG